ACAACTGGGAATAAAATGGAACTTGCATGCAGCATATCATCCTCAAAGCTCCAGAAAAGCAGAAAGAATGAACAGAACCCTTAAAACCACCGTAGGGAAAATGTGTCAGAAGACAGGACTGCCTTGACCCAACTCTTACCCCTTGCTCTTCTTAGAATAAGACGCACCCCAGGCTCCCATGACCTGTCCCTTTTGAAATCATGTATGGCAGGCCACCTCCCCTCATCAAGGACATCCAAGGGGATATAAACTGACTAGGAGAGACCATGCTTGAGAAACATGATCAAACTAGGGAATGTCCTCAAGGACTTGAGCTCAACAATATTAGAAAGAATTCTTGTCTCCATTAGTACTCAAGTTCATGCTTTTTCACCCAGACAATGAGTTTGGGTCAGAACCTGGAAACATGAACTTTTACAAGCCATGTGGGAGGGCCCCTACCAAATTATATTAACCACCCCTACAGCCCTCAAAGTTGCTGGTCAGAAGCCATGGATTCACCACTCCAGAGCAAAAGCAGCTCCCACCAAGGGTGGACCAGTCACATCTATCCCAATGACCTTCTCCAGCTCCAACTGAAAGTGAAAAACAAGAATTTCTCCGGCCCTGCTGCCACCATATAACCAGAGGCTGGTGGCTCCACACACGGCAGAAGCCTGAGGACCAGCGAGTTGCTATATATGCCATATTTGAATCCCTATCCCTGTCACCCTTTGCCCCTCTCCTTGTTTTGCATTCTTGCTATGCTTTTTGCCATAGGGCTTGCTTCAACCGCACCCCAAGACTGGCACCTAGGCCATAAAATCCTACCAGCCGTCACCTACCTCATCACAACTGAAAGTCTGACTCTCATCAAATGCCTCCTATAATTGCCCAGCACCTGAAACTCCTACAATAATGATTACTCAGCCTATTATTATAGGTTTGCTGATCCTTACTGTTCATTTCTTTCCTGAGATCCTGGCAGAATCATGCAATCAATGCCTTAAGCCACAAACCCTTACTGCATCAGATTTCTTAAAACAAATGCAAGAGAAACCTGTTAATAAACCACCTCTGTTCGTGGCACACTCACACCAACCTGCCAGGTGTTATTCCGGACAGACGGTAAAAAACTGTACCTGGGGTGATAAAGAATGTTGGACAACTTGGATACCCCAGAAAAATGTAGCTGGAATTATATGCACGGGAGGCCTCAGACATAGATGCTGGACAAAACTGCTTCAGTGGGGCTCATCTGATGTGGGGGTACACAAGATCAGGTCCAGAAAGAACAAATACAAAAGGTAACTAATGACTTGATAGCAAAGGTAGCGCCTACACCTCCTAAACCCGAAACAAGGTCACCACTTGTATACTACCAAAAAGAAAATCACTAGACCCAGATCCCCGGTTAGACCAAATGTAAACTGTAACCCATCGACTCTTAAATGTTACTAACCCGCAGCTTGCACATGACTGTTGGCTCTGCCTGTTTCCTGATCCCCTCTGATATATGGCCACCCCTATGAGCCCCCATAATATATCCAAGCCAGGTTATGTCTCTGGCTTTCTGATCACAACTCCCTTATCAAGTTATATAGAACTGTCCCAGACAGCGCCTATCTGTTACAATAATCTGGGAGGAATCCAGTCTGTAGGAAGGTTAACTTCTGACCACTGCCTCCAATCCACGACTGCAGGCAGAGGAAGGCTGTCTCTCTGACGAACCCTGGTGCCGGAACCAGGGACTAGGAACTTTCTTTGTATGTGGTACATATGCCTATCGATGTTTACCAGCCAAATGGTCAGGAGTCTGCACCTTGGCCTTCTCCACTCCCCAAAGGGGCATACTACCTAACAATCAGTCCCTTCCAATACCCTTAATGGCGTACACACGATCAAAGAGGGCCACCATGTTCATACCCCTGTTAATAGGACTGGGAATCACTGCAGGAATAGGCACTGGCATGGGCCTATTATCAAGCCAAACTAACTGCAGATTTCACAGATGACACAGAACAAGTAGCAAGATCCATAGTGGCCACACAGGACCAACCAGATTCCTTGGCAGCAGTAGTCCTATAAAATCAAAGGGGACTAGACCTACTCACTACCTAGAAAGGGGACTCTGCCTTTTCCTAAATGAAGAATGTTGTTTCTATGTAAACCAGTCCGGCACAGTCAGAGACAAGGCTCAACGATCACAAGAACGGGTAATGCGCAGAAGACAGGAGTTAGCAAATTCTTGGAGCCAATGGAACATCTGGAATTGGGCTTCCTGGCTCCTTCCTCTAATAGATCCCCTCTTCGTATTTCTTTTAGCACTCATATTTGGCCCCTGCACCTTAAACCTCATAACCCAGTTTGTAAGTTCCTGTTGAGAAGCTGTCAAGCTACAACTTTTGGCAACCCAATATGTACCCCTAAGAAAAGGTAACCAGCCTAACCAACCCTAGTAAAAGATTTTCCTAGGCACTAGAAGAGGAGGGAATGAACTGGCAAGCCATTTGGAGGAAGCTAAAAGGGCCATAACAATGGGAGGGAGAAAGGGGGTGCATGACTAACCATTTTTTCTCCTCACAATGTCCGCTTCCATAAAGAGCTCGTTTAAGCCTCTGCTACCACCCGAGCTATACTGCACACACACAAAAATGTAAACTGCATGTATGCGGAAATGTAAACCTGATATTAGGCAAAACTCACAAGTAGACGGGCCCCAGGACTTAGGCCTGAATCCCCTGGGCCCACCGGCGTAAATAAACTTGTGTTCGCCTCACATCCCAGGAGTGCCACCTGTTTCTCCACTGAGGGAATCAGCTCTGCCACAACACTCTGGCTGAGGTGAATAATGGACAATTTTTTGATAGAAGCATCCTCCAAGTGCGTGCTTACTCTGTCTTTTGTACTTGTTCTAGGTATTTTTCACAGATGGAGTTCAAACTAAATTGCCGGCCTTCATGCCTACCTTACTTCCTCCTTCCTGTTTATACACCTGAGATTAGCTCCAGGAACAGCGCTCATGCCTGTAATTCCAGCACTTTGGGAGGCCAAGGTGAGAGGACTGCTTGCGCCCAGGAGTTCAAGACCAGTCTGGGTAACATGGCGAGACCTCATCTCTACAACAAATTAAAAAGTTAGCCGGTTATGGTGTCACGTTCCTATAGTCCCAGCTACTCAGGAGGCTGAGACAAGAGGATCCCAAGTCCCAGGATGTCGCGGCTGTGATCATGTGCACTCCACTCTAGCCGGGATGACAAAGACTCCTGAGGAGCCCTCCAGACAAGCTCGCAAGACCTGACGCTTAGCAGGTTCTCAGCCAATATCTGTTAAATATTTGAATCAACGAACGATCAGCATCATTTTTCTCTCCTTTTAAGCTCAATTATATTTTCTCAGTCTTACTTTCCAGAGAACTTGATAGCTGGATCTAACAAAATATCAACACTTAATAGACATTCAATAAATGTGTAATAAGTGAATGAAGAAACGAACTAATGTCTTAACGTTTATTTCCACGTTTCTTAAAAAGTGCAAGCACCTATTCTATTTATGTATTTATTTATTTGTTCGTGTATTTATTTATTTATTTATTTATTTATTTATTTATTTATTTATTTATTTATTTATTTTGAGTCAGAGTCTCCCTCTGTCGCCTCGACCTGCTGGGCTCCGGCGATCCTTCCGCCTCAGCCTTCCAAGTAGCTGGAACTACAGGCGCGCGCTACCACGCCTGGCTGATTTTTTATTTATTTGTAGAGATGAGGTCTCGCCAAGTTGCCCAGGCAGGTCTCGAACCTGTGGGCTCAGGCCATCCACTCACCTCAGCCTCCCAACGCGCGGGATTACAGGCTGAGCCACCGAGCCCGGCTTCGTGTATTTATTGTTTGTTTATTTAGAGTTGGAGTCTCACCATGTCTTGCCGCCACCTCCCAACGTGCTTGGATTACAGGCATGAGCCACTATGCCCGGTTTATACACCCATTTTAACTTATCACCCTGACACCTGATCTGTTTACCAATTGGCTTCTCACTCAAAAATGAAATCTTGACAAATGGGTGATGATCAAAGCTCCTTTTTGAAAATCTTATCTGTGACCAGTGTGATCTTTTTTAAATTTCAAGCTCATATTTTAAAATGTCAGGCTCCTTTAGGAGTAGGACTTTTGGGTAGCCTTGATATCCACCATGCTGATGCAATTGAATGGGCATAAAACCACTGTCCTCGAAGTAAGGGTCACCTCTGTTTCTAAGAATAGATGCTCAGTATATGTGACACTGAAGTATGGCTACTCTTAAGCATTTTAATAGAACTGAATGAAAATGTTTGGTACTCCACCCAGACCACAGTGAACATTTCGCTCCAATATCGTTTATTCATCATTATTCAGACATGAGCGTGGACTATAAGATCTGATGCCTCTGGAACTTCAGAGCAATGCTCAGTTTTAGATGAAAGTAAAGATACCTTTTCCTTGACCACCATTTGGGTACAGCCCATCTGCTGGGGACTAATAAAATGCACTTTTTTGGCCAGACATCAGGCAAGTAAATAGAAAGTTCAGTCTGGGAAGGATTTTGTCTTTCCCAAAACCTAGAGCGGTGCTCTCCATTTTTCTTCTTTTGATTGCACACTTTTGCCAGTAAAAAGTTTCTTATCAAACATCCCTAATTGATGCATAATTATTTATTTATAAATCGCATGCATGCATTACCATGCTAATGTGTCTGTGCTTTATAAAACCTGTCAAAATGGAAATTTAAAGGAGTGATACCAAATAAATAGAAACTCTAATTCCCATATTTTCTTCTCTCACCCCAATAAATTGTCTTATAACTAACCCACTGGCGGAAAGTCCTCAAAACTTGCTTCTAGAAGGCCTGGTGGGAACAAGGTTTTTCAATGTCAGGTCACTAAGTACACATGGCCCCAAGTCACCCAGTGGCTCACTTCCTTCCATTAATTCTATCAAAGGCAATTCACTTTACTTTTAAGAAAAAATGATAACTCAATGATGAAGTGATGATTTCAATGACTTTATTTGCAGTGGAACAAGCTAAATGCCATATTTCATTCCAAGTGAAAAGAAATAGACTGCTGATGCTACTACAGGATAAGAAGCAAGGAAGTAAATCTGCAGTCTATCCTTGAAGCATGTCAAAATGGTATGGGGAGGAAAAGGAGGGTTTTATCTCACAAGACAGTAAACACTGAACAACTTAATTTTCCATTCCAGGAAATCGGCAGGCATCATCAACGCAGCACTTTGCAAAACATTTAAGACTTGTGATAATAACAAGTACTGCAATGGCACTGCGTGTGGTTCTCCACCCTGGCATTTCCCATGACCATGGCCTAGAGGGGAAGGAAAAAGACAGAAAGATGATTGGTGATAGATGATTAGAGGATTGATGGAGAGACAGAGAAACAAAATTGGAAAATACTAAGTTAAAATTGTCTGTAGTCTGCTGAACTAATTAGATGCATGCTACATTTGCAAAGTCTCCCTTTCAGGAGATTTTTTCACTCAAAGGTGAAGTTTGCATTGTGTAAGCATGCTGTACTTTCTCCCACCCGGCCCTGTATCACCTCCACCCCTGTTCTCATCATTCTAAATAAATCCAGCCTGTACCCCCAAGACCGCTGACTCTTTTAATGAAAGGGTACAGACGCAGCCCCTGCCTGAACAAATGCCCACCAAAGGATGGATCACGGGACACCTTGGGCGTTAAATTCTGTGGACGTGCTCCCTGGGCACTTCTCTGGCTGGGTTGTTAGGAAGCTTCTGGAGCCTTTGAAGTTCTTACCTTGGTGAATGCTTTGGCCACACAGCATGTGGCCTCTGAGGTGATGTTTTTTGGAACCAACATTGTCTTCTTGGACCTTGCTGGAGTGGGATATGCCCTGGAGAAGCAGCAGCCCACACACTGATAAACGGGTGCACCCAGCTTGGAGAAGTATTTGTTTTCCTTTAGCTTGCATTCTGGGCAACCTATCAGAAGAAAGGGGCAAGAAAAGAAAAGCAGTCCAAAAGCATTCAAAAAGAAACTAGGAATTTTTCCTCATGATGGGATGGTAAATAGTATTTTTTCTATTGAAAATGAGAGGGGAATAAACAAACACTTTGGGGCTATGTGTTAATCTTCCTATATAATATCTACTTGTACTGATTACAGTTATTTTTATGGGAAAACAATTTTTGCAGACATGCATAGAAAAGCTCAGCTGTAGTGGTTTCTCTTTCTCCAAGCCTGGATTTTTCTATCCCAATGCTAATACTTGCCTAGAGGAAATACAAAACTTGACAGATGAAAACATCACATTCATCTGAAAAGAGAATTTTGCCCAGAGGAAAAATATTTCTTCCTTTAGAATCTGCTATTGTTTTGTCTCCACAGAAATTCCAAATATTGACAGAGAAAATTGTGTCAGATTAAGGAAGCTTGGTGAGTATAGCAAGCCTTATATTAGATCAGGCTTCTGCACTTGGGACCTGGGATTAAAATATTACCACTTATCTAGAGGAAAGCCATAACCAATAGTAGCTCACAATTTCAAAGCAGATGGCATTATATCAACTAGTATATGAGATTTTTTTCAAGCACTACAGCAAAACAAATTTACTGCATAAAATGGTTTTGTTTTTCTCACTTGCTAACTGATGTGAAAATTCATCTACAAAGGCAATGTTCAAATCTTCTCAAATCTTCTGGGAGAAATGTACGAAAAAAAACTGAGATAACTGAATAAGGAGCATTTTCTTCTTGTAAAATTCAGATAAAGAATCTATTCAGATGAAAATGTACAAACTGCTATCTAAATGGATGTATAAGATATCATTTTCACTGTATATTTTCTGAACCTAATTTAATTTTATGTTCACAATCTAGAGAGCCTAGATATGAATCCAGCATCAAAGATTTATCACATCTGAAAAGGAGATAAAAATGTAATTAATGGAGTTATTGATGTACATCTAGAATGCACATTGTCCTTATGACTTCAGCCCCAGGCTCGGTCACACACCTTGCATCATAAACTCTCCATCAGGAAAGGAATGAAGAATATGCAGAAACACAGACAATGTGGCCAGCAGGACAGCTGCATATTTTCTGTAGTAATCCATGGCTCTTCTGCAAAACAGACATGGAAAAAAAAAGTTAATCTAAAATCAGCTTACCAGTCATAACAACAACCGGTAGTTTTAACACTACTACTAATAATAGTCATCTGCTTTCAACTCCCAACATGATCTAAAACCATGCACATTAAAAAACAAGTTCTTCTTAGGAAAGAGAAAAGTGAATCTTCCCATTTCTCACATAAACCACTATAACTGGGTTTAATATAACAACAAATTCTTTTGAACATGTCATCCTATTAAGAAGGCTCATTGTCCTTATTTGTAAACAGGAAACTTCAACTGGATAATATCTAAGAATATATGTATGCGTGTATATATATTATATATAAGCTTATATATGATATACAAAATGTACAATCTTTTGTCAAAAATTATACAAAAAGTATTCAACATCAGCCATTAAGAGATGCAAATTAAAAACACAATGCGATATTACACACCTAATAGGCTTAAAAAAAAATGTAAAATGCCAGTTGGCATGGATGAAGATAAACAGGATATTTCAAATTTTGCTAGTGGGACTATAAAGTGGTACAGCCACTCTGGAAAATAGTTTCTGATCATACTAAACATGTACTTAACATATGATCCAGCTGTTGTACTTTTGAGTAATTATCTCAGAGAAATGCAAGCTATATTCACATAAGACATGTATATGGATGTACATAGTAACTTTATTTAAATGGAAACAATTTAAATGCCCTCCAACAGGTGAATGCTTATACAATGATATTGTATATATTCATACCATAGTAGACTAGGAACACACGCATTAATACACACCACAACTTGGGTGGGTTTCAAGGAAATTATACTGTATTATTCCATTTTATATAACACTGCTGAAATAACAAAATTATGGAGATAGAGAATAAATTAGCAATTTCAAGGAGTTAGTGTTGGGAAGAAATTTGTGAGAGTGAATACAGCTGTAAAGAGATAGCACACATGGCCGGGTGCGGTGGCTCAGCCTGTAATCCCAGCACTTTGGGAGACCGAAGTGAAAGGATTGCCTGAGCCTGGGGGTTCAGGACCAGCCTGGGCAACTAGGTGAGACCTTGTCTCTACAATAAATCACACAAAAAAAGTAGCCAGGCGTGGTGGCATGCATCTGTACTTTCAGCTACTTGGAAGGCTGAAGCAGAAGGATCACCTAAGCCCAGCAGGTTGAGGCTGTGGTGTCCATGAGCATGCCACTGCACTCCAGCCTGGGTGACAAGAGTGAGACTCCAACTCAAATGAATTAATTAATTAAAAAAGAAATAAATAGCACAGGAGAACCTTGCAGTAATGGAAAGTTCTGTATCCTGCTGGGCACAGTGGTTCACCTCTGTAATCCCAGCACTTTGGGAAGTAGAGGCAAGAGGATTGCCTGAGCCCAGAGGTTCAAGGCCAGCTTGGACAACTTGGTGAGACCTCATCTCTACAATAAAGTTAAAAGAAAAAAAAAACTAGCCAGGCATCCTAGTATACATCTGTAGTTCCAGCTGCTTGGAAGGCTGAGGTGAAAGGATCCTGAGGTTGTGGTGGCCGTGAGCATGTCACTGCACTCCAACCTGGGCAACAGAGTGAGCCTCTGACTCAAAAAGAAAAAAGAAAGAAAGCTCTGCATCTTGATCATGATATTAGTCACTCTAATATATAAATGGGATAACATTGCATAGACTTACTCACACACACTAATTTTATACACATAAAGAACTTGAATACGTGTGTGTGTGTGTATGTGTAGCCTGGATAAGCTCTGTGGGATGTAGTAATGTCAATTTTCTCATTTTCACATAGTACTATAGTTATGCAAGATAACTGTCACTGGGGGAAACTGGCTGAGGGATACACAAGACTTCTCTGTAATTTTTTGGCAACTTCTTCTAAACCTACAATCGGTAAAAAAAAATTTTAAGAGACAATTCAGAATGAGGTTTAAAAGTATACATGAGACAAAACTTGCGGTTATTTTTCATGTGGAATGATGCTAATAGGATGATGTTTTTGTTAGATGTTTAGATCAACCCATAACATTTTTCAAACATAATTTGCCAGGTAACAGAACTACATGTAAAACACAGGTTGAGTATTCCTAGTCTGAAAATTTTGAAATCCAAAATTTCCCCATCTTTGAAACATTTTGAATGCCAACATGATGCCACAAGCAGAAAACACTACACATAAGTATTTAACACAAACTTTGTTTCATGCACAAAATTATTAAAACTTTTGTATAGAATTGCCTTCAGGCTATGTGTATAAGGGGTATATGAAACATAAATGAACTGTGTGTTTAGGTATGGGTCCCATCTTCAAGATATCTCATTATGCATGTGTAAGGATTCCAAAATCCTCCAAAATTCAAATCCAAAACATTTTTCAGCCAAGCATTTCAGATAAGTGATATTCAAACTGTGTGGAAAATACAGATTGTGTAAGTATAGAGCCAAAAGAATATATGTCATTATTTCTACCTGCTATATGTATTTATGCATAAACAATATGTAACCCTAACCCTAACCAAAGATTATGATTTTTATCTATCTTCATACATAATTAGCCCTGAATAAATGTTTTTCCAAGTCAGTGCTTTTCAAAGTGTAATCTGGGGACCCCAAACAGTTTCAGTTTATCTATGAGGTCAAAATGATTTTTATGATAATACTAAAATGTTGCTTGTCCTTTTTTCCTCTTCATCTCCTTGAGTGTTCAGAGAAATTTGTGTTTTTTATTGTTGTTGTTTTTGCTTTTTTTTGAGTTGGAGTCTCACTCTGTCGCCCAGACTGGAGTGCAGTGGCTGCTCCCGGCCACCGCAGCCTCAACCTGCTGGGCTCCGGCGACCCTGCCACCTCAGCCTTCCGAGTAGCTGGAATTACAGGCATGAGCTACCACGCCCGGCTGATTTTTTGATATATTGTACAGATGAGGTCCCGCTGCCCAGGCGGGTCTCGAACCCACGGGCTCAGGCAATCCACTCACCTCAGCCTCCCAAAGGCACGGGATTACAGGCTGAGCCACCGAGCCCGGCTTCAGAGAAATTTTGTATAGGCTACATGACATGCAGCAGATCAAATAAAGAAACACAAGAGAATTTAGCTGTGTTCTATTAAGCCAGACAGTAAAGAGATTTGCAAAAATGTAAAACAATGCCATTCTTACCACTATTTTGAGGGGAGGAAATTGTCATTTTTAAAAAATAAATATTTTATTCGTGTTAACATATGGTGGGTCTTTTTGGCTAAGCACTGTGGCTCATACCTGTAATCCTAGCACTTTGGGAGGCCAAGGTAGGAAGACCATTTCAGCCCAGGAGTTTAACACCAGCCTAGGCAACACAGCAAGAGACTTCTCTACAAAAAAATTGTTAAAAAGTAGTGGACTGTGGTGGCATGTGTCTATTGTCCTAGCTACTCAGGAGACTGAGGTGAAAGGATCACCTGAACCCTAGAGATAAAGGCTGCAGTGAGCCATGATCATGCCACTGCCCTCTAGCCTGGGCAATAGAGTGAGATCCTACCTAAAAAAGAAAAAAGATTATGGGGCTTTTAAGTTAATAAATACTGTAAAACTTTAACATAATTTCTAACTATTAAATATTGAGAGATGCAAGCTCATAAATAAAAGCTCTTTGGGCCCTTCAATAATTTTTAACAGTGTAAAAAGCTTCTGAGACCAAAAAGTTTGAGAACCACTATCCTAAGTGATATAGGAAGCCATAAGGAAAATTTCAGAATTTAAACTAGTTTCCTTCTTAAACTATAACATTTTTATGCTTTAATATTGCAGCTCATATATTATGAAAATTCAGTCATTATGCAGTGAACAATTATATCAGAATTAATTCAGAGAGAAACATTTATAATAAGATTACAGAATATAAAAACATGAAGTCAATGCACATTTTAGATTTGACTTTATAATAAAGTGAAAAAAAGATTGAAGAAGTGAAACCAGGCCAGGCTCGGTGGCTCAGCCTGTAATCCCAGCATTTTGGGAGGCAAAGGTGAGTGGATTGCCTGAGCCCACAGATTCAAGACCTGCCCGGGCAACTTGGCAAGACCTTGTCTTTAAAAAATAAATTTTAAAAAATTAGCCAGGCATGGTAGTGCACACCTGTAGTTCTGGCAGATCGCCGGAGCCCAGTAGGTCAACGCTGGGGTGGCAGTGAGTATGGCATTACACTCCAGCCGGGGTGACAGAGTGAGACTCCAACTCAAAAACAAAAAACAAAAAAAAAGAAAAGAAAAGAAAAAGAAAAAGTGAAAGCAAAATCACCATTGCTGCAGAAACTTTGTCTTTATTTTTAAAAGAGATGACATTAATCAAATAAAAAGAGATTACCTTCCAATTTTAGTTGTTTTCAAAAGCATTTTGATAAATATTTTTATCATCTTAATCACCTTCAGGTTTTTCTGCTTCAGAATTTGGGGAAAAAATTAAAGATGAGGGCAAAACAAATAATTACGTTCAGCTGAAAATTATGCTAATTTGCAAAAATATGCTCAATTTAAAGTCAGATTTACTCCTCTCAGTCTCTTTTGGTGTTCCAAACAAGTACTTTCCAAAGCTCACAGGCCCTGGAAACCCAGTCTCAGACTAACCTACAACATGCATTCAGCGCTCCCTCACCTCCTGCCTCCCACGAGGTGAAAATAATGAGTCCAAGAAGACGTGTGTTTTCTCAACTTGGCCTACAGGCCTTTCTCTCCCTCCTCAGTTCATCTACTTTAGAGTCCTTTAAGGAGCTGCTTAACTGCTAGCTTTGCTGTGAAGGTTTCACTCAACCCCAAAGCCAAAATAAATAATTCCACTGCATTCACTTATCACTTGGCTTATTATTCTTAGATGATGCTCCCCAGTCTGGCCAGTGATGTGCATGCCTCTCTCTCCATCCATGAGAAAGCTTCTTAAAGACAGGAACCATGTCCTCTTTCCCACCACCCCCCAAAGCACAGGGCCTTGCACAAAATAGATGGGCAATGCAGTTATGTTGA